TCGAATTGTCATTAATCACGTAACGTTTTAATTTAAATTACGCAAATAATCACGTGATGTGTAAAAATCACGCTATTTATCACGGTTAATTAACGTGACACTATTGATTTTTAGACGGGGTACTAAAATCCACTGTCGAGGTGTCGACCAAATCTCTTACTTACGGAACTCTCATTAGTATGCCATCGGTTGACAACAGGATTCGTTTTCCAGATGGACGAGGGAATACAAACTACAAGAAACGAATTTATATTAAAAAAAATGAATTTTATTTTTTTAGCTTTAAAAATTGCCGAACGCCAGTACTTACCTACGCTGATCGCTTTAAAAAGCCTACTGCCCCCCCTAGTATTTTCGACGGTTAGCCTCGACTTGGCTGCTTTTCCCCCACCTTGCTACTCTTCCCTACGCATTAATGTGGTTCATTAAGTTCATACCGACGGCCTGCTCACGCCGATTGCTGACGCTCGGGCCGAGCCGCTCGGCTTGGTTTACATTTACATGACTTACATCTACATCATATACATAATACGCACACAGATATGAATTTGAGGCACATAGACTCACAAGTAATTACATGTCTCGCTGATAATATAATACGTTCTTATCATGGTCAGCGACCGACTGTGATTGTTATATTCTTTGCGTGTTTCGCCCACCTACCCAAGTAGAGCATATACATATGTATATATCGACGGCTCTTACGGAAAATAACGGAACTCAGAAATTCCAATGTTATTTTAAATAGAAAAATCTGAGTTCCGTTGTATTTCGTAAGAGCCGTCGATATATGCTCTAAGATGTGGATTTAGCGCTCTCTATTTTTATATATATATATTTTTTTTTATTATTCGTCATCGCCCGTAGGCTCAGACATGGCTTTCTTTTACACAAGAATAGTGTTTATCAGCCATCGGTGCACCTCAGTTATGACCAGATGTTTATACGTATAAACAAGATGACCAACACAGTCACACCTATGATCACGTAGACGAAGCGTCAAAGAAACAGTTAATCGACCCTTGAAAATCAGCAGCACAGGCGAAACGGCGATACTTTAACGGTCACCCATCCAAGTACTAACGGCGCCAAATAATGCTTAACCTCGGAGATCGATGGAACTGCAACTTTACTGTTGCGCCACCGCGACCTCTTTTCTTATATCGCTCTAAATCTCTATGAGTGTAGCCAGTGTTGGGTTAGGCGGATTCAAAATCGGAACTTTTTCCCTAGATCGTATATATAGCTATACGATCTAGGGAGAATGTTCTACCGAGCAGATACCGCAGTAAAGGGGCATTGCCAAAGACGGTACCCACAACGCCCGAAAATTAATATTTAAAATAATAACACAAGTGCCTATCACCCAATGATCCGAGCGCTTAATAGCCACTCTATTAAATAACAAAATGTTAATTAATAGCACAAGCCCCTATCAGTTAGTGACCCGGGGGGCTTACTCGTCACTTTGTTAAACAATATATATTATTAATTAATAGCACAAGCGCCAATTACCCAATGATCTAGGGGCTTACTGGCCTCTCTGTTGAATAATAAAATATCAATTAATAGCACAAGCGCCTATCACCCGAAGACCCAGGGGGCTCACTGGTCACTTTGTTAAACAATATATATTATCAATTAATAGCACAAGCGCCTAACACCCGATGACCCGGGGCGCTTACTGGCCACTCCATTCAATAACAAAATAATAATTTATAGCACAAGCGCCTATCACCCAAGGACTTGGGGGGCTAACTGGCCTCTCTATTAAACAAAAAAAAGTGTTAAGCAAAATAAATATAAGCGCCTATCAGCCAATGACCCGAGGCGCTTACTGGTCACTCTATTCAGTAATGAAATAATAATTATTAACACAAGCGCCTGTCACCCAATCACCCAGGGCGCTTACTGATCACTTTATTAACCGATGTATATTAATAATTAATAGCACAAGCGCCTATCACCCAATGACCTGGGGGGCTTACTGGCCTCTCTATTAAACAATAAAATATCAGTGTATAGCACAAGCGCCTATCACCCGATGATCCGGGGGGCTTACTGGTCGCTTTATTAAACGATATATATTATTAATTAATAGCACAAGTGCCTATCACCCCATGACTCGCGGCGCTTACTGGTCACTTTATTAATCAATATATATATTATCAGTTAATAGCATAAGTGCCTTCCACCCGATGACCTGGGGGGCTTAGTGGTCACATTATTAAACGATATATACTATTAATTAATAGCACAAGCGCCTTTCACCCGATGTCCTGGAGCACTTGCTGGCCGCCCTATTGAATAACAAAAAGTTAAATAATAACGCAATCGCCGATTGCCTGATTAACCAGGTTGCTGCTTGTGTTTGATTAACAATTTATTATGTAATAGTGTGGCTATTAAGCACCCGGGTCATTGGGTGATAGACACTTGTGTTATTAATATTTTCAATTTCAATTTTCGCTCGTTATGGGTACCGTCTTTGGCAATGCCCCTTTACTGATGTCTGCTCGGCGGAACATTCTTCTTATCGTATAGCTATGTATACGATCTAGGGAAAAAGTTCCGATATTGTATCCGCCTAACCCAACGCTGAGTGTAGCAGTAGTTAAAAAACGAGCTCTTGGCACTCATTGGTGGAAATCCCAATTTAGAAGGTCTCTTGTTCCAACTATTCCAAGCCTTCTGAATTTCTGATTAGCTGATCCATAGACATATAAGAAATAAAGACTGTGCTCGTTCTTACGTAAGGCGCTGAAGCACAAGTAGAAGGAGATACAACATCGAACTTGGGTTTCTGTCTCTCTTGCACATTCCCACCTTTGGCAAAATAACCATTTTCATAGCTTATCTATCGCTTATGTTGAATTATCAAAAAATATACTCACGGAAGATAAGATATAAGGTATTTTAGGTAAAATAAGCGTTTGATGAACGACGAAAAAAAGTTATTTTTTTACTTTCTGAGAGTGAAAAAACTGCCGTAACTGTAGTTTTATGTATTTATATAAGTAAATTATTATGAAAAACTATTCGGCAAAGTAAAATCACATGGTTTTTTTAAATAGAGGAGGCTTTAGCTTTTTTGTAGAGGCAGATAAAGTTTTTTCGGGCCATTTTTAAGTAATAGAAAAGTTAAAGTCTTACCTCAAATAAGACTGATTCAAAAACTATGTACTTTCTATCCGTTAAACTAGGTTGCGGCAATTAGTGTCAGCATGTAGGGTTTAAGTCCTATATATATGTGTCATCGTGGGAGGAGGTGCTGGAATGAGCTGAGAGACTTCGTACATGAGTGTGTGCTTTATTTACCGTGAGTACATGTGCGGCTCGGACTCGAGCGTTTCGAGCTCAGCAAGGACTGAAGTCGTCAGTAAGCGGTTACACCGAACTACTAGTATAAGAGTGGGGGTAAGCCCCTACAGGCAATGTAGGCAATGAGTGGTCATCTACTTTACGAGAGAAAATATTATTTGATGTTTCGTCCCGGGAGCACGCCAGGACTTATCAGTAAGGCTAATGACGTGCTCCCTGCCTTAGACACCTACATCGGTGGGGATCCCCTAGCTCAACCTTAAACGTCCTTATATATTAACTAATATGAAATCCGGGCACTTGCGAGAAGGTCAATACATTACACACATATCAAATTAATGGAGTATAAAGGCGCCCTTTTTAAATACAATAAATAAAGTTTCACATAAGAAGGAAACCAAATAGTTATGAACAATGCATAAGGTTATATACGAAATGCAAAAACGTTGTGAATCTGTGAGAGGGTCCTCACAGCAACTTAGCGGTCGCGCCATCTGTTGGTGAGCTCAACCGCTGGGCCGCTGCGAGAGAAGGCTTTTTGTCAGACTCAAAACTCAATCCGTGTTCACAAGTATAATGAATTCATTCTTTATCAAGATTAATTAACTATTCTGACGGTATATGTAATAGGTAGGTTAATTGAAAGTGTATTTTGAATAGCCCTGTCACATTGTTGACAAAGTAACTGACTTGCCAGTTTTTATTCCTTACAAATTTTGTCATGTTTACACTAGTATACACACTTAATAGGGACGGAATTTTGCAAAATAACAAAGCTGTCTCAGTATGCTTGCATTTTTCACTCAATCCAATCTTGCAAGAACATGTCATGGGTAAAATTTGACCACTCTCATGACTTCCTCCAACAATTTTTAGAGGCTCCTTTTTAATACCATTACTGTTTTTAAACGAAATCTCACGATATTAATATAAGCCTTTTTTGTTCACTAATAAGTATAATGTGTATTTTAAAAAATTAATTACAACGTCTCTATTAAGTGTATACTAGGGTGAGCATTACAAAATTTGTGAGGAATAAAAACTGGCAAGTCAGTTACTTTGTCAGCAATGTTACAGTGCTATTCAAGATATGCTTTTAATTAACCTATCGATTACCATCAAAATAGTTCATTAATCTTGATAAAGAATAAATTCATTACATTTGGGAGCACTGATTGAGTTTTGAGTCTGTGACTGTGACAGACTGTCTGTCAAAAAGCCTTATCTCGTTGTTTCTGAACTCACCAACAGATGGCGCGACCGCTATGTTGCCGATCCCAATTCGAGCAGATGGCGGAGATAGAGCGAAACAAGCCCTTATTTTAGATCATTAAAATTTACTAAAATTTTTTTTTTCGATTTTTAAAATTAAGGCTTTGGCGATCGTTCGAAAAATGTTTTAGAGGAAGAAATATCCTTTAGGACAGTTCCTTTTATTACTAGGGATGGCACTTTTTAAATTACCATATATTTATAGGGGGACATGTATATAACTCGAGACCAAAAAAAGAGATCACTCAAATGCTTTAGATATCTACGAATCACAACGGTTTTTTATTTTTTGTTAATGTTGAGGCGAAAATTTTTTTTTCTTATACACTTGCTCTTAGTCTAGTATACATATACATGCTCTAGAGAAACCGGAATCGTGTCCTGATAACGATTTGATCAAGTGGTGGGGAGAACTTTCGTTGATGGAAATGAAATCCTCTGTGTACCGCTGCCGCTTCTTTTTTCTAAAAAAGTGTGATCACAGATTAAATAGATAAGAAACCATAAGAATCTACAGAATCAGATCACGAGCATAATTAAGCGAGTACTGTTAATTTCACCCTTGGTCATCTCACGTGTTGCTCATCTTACTGACAAACATTTTTTACCGTTTTTTTTTATTTAGCAAATTTTCTGTAGTCACTAATTAGATTTAAAAGAGATGTACGACGGCGAAGTTCTTATTGTCTCTTCTTGTAGAACGCCCATAGGTAAGCATTTGCACACATTTAACTCATTTTTGTGTGTCTCTTTACATTTACCACATGCATGTGTTATGTTTTCATGCTCTAATTTTTATTGTATGTATATACGTATATATTGTTTCTTCATCATAAACGAAGTACTGCATGCCGTTTATCCTTAATTCATACAAGCATTACAATTTATTGTATCACGCTTTTTATTCTCAATATTCTATATTAACCTTATGCCTAGTTCTTCTAGAGGGTGTACACATCAACTCATACTTTTTATCTAATATAAAGTTTCTGTCAAAATTTTTACTCTAAGATCCATAACTATGAACCGAAAAAGATTCATTCTATAATATCATGAGCTTAGTAACTCAATTCTTTTGCATCAATATTCCAGACAGTTATCAAAACTAAAAGTTCATTTCTTTAAAAGTATGTACATAATACAGTAATAAGATTCAACCTATACCTAACGCGGGGTCCTTTTGTATCCTGTATCCTTAATCTCTACCTTCTTTTATTCCTTTTTCCGTAATTACTACCCTCTTTTTCACCAAGTATGCAAATCTTTCATATGGGCCCCTTACAAAGTTCCCCTCTAACGACTCGTACTACGACGACGGTACTATTTACAGGGTACAGTGATTGTCTTAAGCACACCCTAGCTATTATCAAGTTTAATGGAAAGATATTTGCCAATGAACCATCTAACTCGCTGTACCGACTTTTTTTATAACCAACAGTGACTTTGACCCGATGAGCTGGTCAGGTGTTGGCTGTCCTTCGGAGAGGATGCCCCTGGAAGTCCAAACATCAACAGAAAAAATCCACTATTCGCTTTTAATAATCGGATAAGTGGTGTTACGGCATCCTGGGTACTCATCCCATTAAAACAGCCCGAGAATAAATTCTTGATAATTTTCGATGGGATTTGAACCCACGACCCCCCCCCTCCGAGTTCCTCTGGCTAGGAGACTTACAGTACGCTAACCACTAAGCTATCAAAGCCCTTTTGGAAGTTAGTTTTGATTTGACTTCGAATTTCTAGTTGAATTACTCTTATTATGTTTATTTTTTTTTATTAATTTGATGTACGTCAGTTGTAGATGAATAGAGAATACTTTTTTTTTTGGTGATTAACCCTATATTTGCTGTTTAAAAAACCATTGAACATTCAGTTACTGAAATCAGTTAAAAAAATTATGTATATATCTATACATTTTTACATTAAAGTGTATTTGAACTCGTAAGAGGTATCAACACTAACTTTATTACATCAAATTAAATGTGTATTTACAGAATATATTACAATAATATCTACAGTCTAAGTGGGCTTACAGAGTTTCCACATTAAAATTTTCCGGAAATTTATAACCTTTGTAATCTTAGAATGCTAGCAGAAGGTTTGGCGGTTATATCAAAAATTCTAATTTTTGTATTTATACTTGCACTTGGCATTGGTTAAGGGAATTATGTATAAAATGATACGAGCTTCAATATTTCGTTTTGCGATTTTGGATTCAATATTATGAGGTGGGTACAAGCTGTCGTTTACCATATGTATATGGTAAATACATAAATATATATACATGTATGAGTATACCCAAAATTTTGATTAGTTCATGTCCCTAAAAATATTTTTCTCTAAGTATACAACGCGTTTTTATTTGAAAATTCTCAAACATTTATTTTTTAGGTTCATTCTGTGGCTTGTTATCATCTGTAAAAGCATCAGATTTGGGAAGCATTGTTATTAAAGAAAGCTTATCAAGAGCTAGTTTAAAATCTACTGATGTATCCGAGGTTATATTGGGACAGGTAAATGCTTTTATAGCTATTTATTTTTTTTTCCCCTAATAATTTTAGTATCTCTTTGTGGTAAGGCATTGACAGCAGCTCAAGGCCAAAATCCAGCAAGGCAGGCTGCCATCAAAGCTGGTCTTCCTGTAACTGTGCCAGCTTATTTGGTAAATATGCTGTGTGGATCTGGCCTCAAGTAAGTCAGAAATGTATTTATAAGGATTTTTCATATTTACCATCATGTCTACCAAATCAAGAAGCAATAGTAAAAAGGCATAGAGTATTTGAACATTATGGGAGTAGACAATATAGAAATTGTTCACTATAAATTTTAAAAGTTAATCCCGTATACACTTTGTAAGTATTATTATATTTATATTATTATAATTAATAACACAAGCACGTATCTACCAATGACCCAGGGTGCTTACTGGCCACTCTATTAAGGTAGGACATCCGCCTAAATCTG